AGACATAAAACTTGTTAAACAAATATTTGCAAACGAAATTCAGCAACATATGGAAAAGACCTGGTACTATGATTAAGCTAGCTTCATTGTAGGTATATAAGGATGATTCAATATGCATAAATCAATAAGTGAGAAACATGGTATGGACAGACTCATCTATTCAATAGATTCAGAAAAGCCTTTAACAAAGAATATTGCAGCTGCCACAATACCTGATTTCAGACTATATTACAAAGCTATTGGCACAAAAACAGCATGGATGACATAAAAATAGACACATAGACCAATTAAATAGAATAAAGAACCCAGAAATAAACTCACACCACTACAGCTATTTGATTTAACTAAGAAAGCTTTTGAGAATTTTATGTATGAGCACTGTATTTATACAATTTCCATCCCTTCCTTTCTCCAAAGCTGTCAATGTCTCCCTGACTTTCTCTTAAATTTAAGATTGTCCTTCTTTGAAATGACAGACTATGGACACCCCTAAGAAGGGCCTCACCCTCCCTGGGGAAATGAGGGGATATGGGAGGAGTTGGGGGAGGGCACAGGAGGAGAGGAGGGAAACGGAGAGGGACCTGGAACTGACTTGTGAAGCAACATTGTTTCTAATCTAAATTTAAATTTAAAAATAAAAAAGATTATCCTTCTTTAATTAAATATAATATATATACAATTAATAATTAAATATATAATGATCTATAATTATGTGTTTGTGTGTGTTCCTGGGTCCATTTACTTTTAGTCATATGTACATGTGTTCAGGGATGACAAGTTGTGATTGGATAACCTATCAGGGGGCTGGATCCTGGAGAAAATGAATTATCCTTTTTCTCTTAGCAGAGAAGGTCTTTACCCAGGGGTGGAGTCTTGTGATCTCTCCCCCATTTTCCTGTCTTGTTTAGGAAACCATGTTGATATTTTCCTTCCATATCTAGAAGACACTATCTCACAGCAAGTGTCTTGGTTATTGGCGCTTATAGTCTTTCCAGCCCATCTTTCATGAGCCTTAGGTGCAGGAGTCACATTGCAGATGTACTGATTGGGAGGTGGGACTCCCTGGTCATTGACTGTGCAATCTGAGCAGCTGTGGGTCCCGGTGGCAGTCTCTGCTTCAAAAAGAAGATTCTTTGATGAAGGGTAAGGGCTGAATTTGTCTGTGAGACAGATACTAAGACTATGGTTAGAAATTGTATTGGTCTAGGAAATGGCAGCAATGGGTTCTCCTCTAGGATCTGTGTCCTCTGCAGTCACGTGAGTGTAGGCTAGGTTTGCAGTATCAGGCATACGTTCCCTCTTATTGCGTGTGCCATAAGTTCAACTAGACCTCCAAATGAGACGCGCCACTAGTACACGATCGAGGTTGCACTGGGGATGCTCTGCTAGGTGGGTCATTGTTGTAGTTCATGGTCATTGCAGCTGGGTGTGACTACTGATTGCTTTTTTTTCCTTGACAGCTTACACAGCACCTTCTGATACTATGATACCTAGTCCTTAGGAAGGGGGGCTTCCAGGCCAGTTTCAGTTTGAAGGAGGAAATGGAAAAAGGGTATGCTGGGTACTTTAAGTAGGGAGGGAGGATAATACAGAGGGAAAAGGAGAAAGAAGAGATAAATAGCATTAAAGAATATTTGAGAAAGTCATGGGGAAATACTTATGATCTTACTTAAAATACATATTATATGTGCAGATATGAATACAGAGTTAAGCCATGTGGGATCCTAGTACGTCTGCCAAGATTTAGAGTATCGGACATAGGACTCCTCCCTTGGAATTGTTGGGGGAGGGTGGTTCAAAAGATTCCTAAAACAATACAGGTTATTGCCATTGCCCTCAGTTGGCCCCCAGAATGTGAAGTAAAACGTTACTTTTGAAGAACCCCACACTTAGCCACGTTGCTTTTAATCAAGGTTCCCAGAACATATCTTGGAGAAAAGACCGTCTTCTCAACAAATGGTCATGTGAAACCAGTATATCCATAGGTAGAAGACCAGAAACAGACTCCTGCCTCTCATCCCACACAGAAACCAACCCAAATGCATCACAGGTCTCAATGCAGGACATGCCTCTTTGGAACTGCTATTGGGAAACACCTCAAAATAGTCATAGGAAGTGGATATCTGAAAAGTACTCAAACAGCTCAAGAAATAAATAAGTGAAAAATAGGATTTCATGAAATTTAAAAGCTTTTGCACAGCAAAAATGCTATCAGCATAACAAAGGGGCTGCTATAGAAGGAGAAAAAAAAACCTTAAAAATATCTAGATATAAAAAGAACTAAAAAACAAAACATAAGGAAAACAAACCATCCAATCAGTAAATGGTCAATGAATTAGATCATTATCAAAAAATACGCAAGTATATAAACTTTCAACATCCTTCACTATCAAGAACATGTAAATTTAATCTGTTACATCTCATCCCTGTCAGAATGACTTTCCTGAGGAAAACAAAAAATTAAAAACAAAGCCTTGGAAATAGCACAAATAAAAAGTATGACATGAAGGCAGAAGGCAAGGGAGACCATGAGGTGGTCAAATATGGGCAAAGTACAATAGACATGCATAAAATGTCACAATGAAATCCATCATTTGCATGCCACCTAAAAAGTTTATAAAAAGTATGAATGCTTAAGATGGTAACATTTTATATTATTTTCATTTTATCACAATAAAAATTGGGAAATACATTTCAACAATCAATCTAAACATAGATACTGTAGGAGTGTTGCTAGTAGCACCTTCTCCTGGTACCTTAGTAGAAATACTGAAATCAACATTTGTCTTTTTCCCATGGGCCAGCTGCTGAGCTCACCCTTCGGATCCCACTGACCACAGCACCAAGTTACTCTCAGAAACTGACTAACCTGATGAGCCCTCTAACAGCATGTTCATGTGAGAAAGCCTTCCACAGCACAGGCTGCACAGTTTTCCTCCTCATGCTCCTTACTGTGTGTATGTTGTTAGTGGTGATTATTCCTATTCACCTTTGCGGCTTTTCTAAGTTTCTCCTGGTCTGCAAGTCTGCAATCAGCAGTCACCAGGGGGATAAATGCAAATTGGTAAAGGAAGTTTCCCCTGCCGGGCGTTGGTGGCACACGCCTTTAATCCCAGCACCCGGGAGGCAGAGGCAGGCGGATCTCTGAGAGTTCGAGGCCAGCCTGGTCTACAGAGTTCCAGGACAGCCTTCAAAACAATACAGAGAAACCCTGTCATGAAAAAAAAAAAAAAAAAAAAAAAAAAAAGAAGTTGCCCCTGCTCGTCATGTCTCTAACTCATCCATATGAACTTTTTTCAATTTATAGAACGTGCTTCTTTCTCTTTCTGTTGGACTATTTTTTTTTTTCTGGAGGGCATAGGTGAGGAGCCTAGAACATCCCACAGAGTCTAGACAGCCTTCAGCATTCACTTAAGTTCAATGCACTTAATTTTGTTCCTCATGAGGTTAAAATAAGGCTAAAAATAAAAATTTCCTCCAAGTGTCAGTCCTCAACATCCTTCAAATGGAGAGGGGGAGAGAGAGAGAGAGAGATGGAGAGAGAGAGAGAGAGAGAGAGAGAGAGAGAGGAAGAGAGAGGGAGAGAGAGAGGAAGAGAGAGGGAGAGAGAGGGAGAGAGAGAGAGCCTCAAACTTCACTTTCTTTTGTAGGTTACCCTATGTCTCTGCTACCATTTCTAGAATTCATAGCTCAGTGGTAGACAACTCATTTCCCACTCACTATGGTTAGCTCCTTCCCAGCTTTGGGACAGGAGGGGGCAAAAGTTTACTTTCTACAGTTTCTTCTGAACTTCTGTTTTCAGTCTACTTTGACCAAAGTTCCGAAGTTTTGCCCCCAAAATTCTTTTGGATGTTAGTCATGTCATTAAGAGTCTGGGCAGGAAGTTCTGAACAGTTGGACACTGGATTATTGCAACATTGGGAGTAATTTATTCTAAAACATACAGAATATACTATATATTTATTTAGCCGAAATTTTGGACAACAGCTGAGCAAAAGCAATTCCCAGTTTAAAAAAAAAAAGTAAAGACATTTTATTCTAGCTGGCTAGGCTAGCTGACAATTTGATTTCCTACCAAGGTCCTTAAATATTGGCATGTAATGATTTTGGTGTAAATCATATAGTTTCATATATATAGATGTTATGGAGCATTTTATAAGTGATACTATTAAATAATTTGATTGAACTAATGAGTACTTGAACTGACAAGTAATGACATAAGCAAAATAAACTCTGACACTCTCACACCTTGTGGGCCTGAATGCTGGGACAGTCCAAGTTACTATTTTTGATGATCTTTGGGTGACTTTAGTAACAGTTGTAAGAATTTCTGTCATTACAGAGCAGAGAATGGGGAAAAGGAATGAATGAGAACAAAGCATACATATATGACAATACCACAAGGAAACCCATTGCTTTCTATGCTAACATAATTAATTAACACAAACCTTGAGAATTATATAGTACTATATCTATGCATTATATATAAACTAAAATTACTCTTAACAATTCAACAATAACAACTCCCGCCCCCCCGTGTGTGTGTGTGTGTGTGTGTGTGTGTGTGTGTGTGTGTGTGTGGTGTGCATGGGGTGTGGTACATGTGGTGTGGTGTGTGTGTGTATGTGTGTGGTGTGTGTGTGTGTGGTGTGCATGGGGTGTGGTACATGTGGTGTGTGTGTGTGTGTGTGTGTGTGTGTGTGTGGTGTGCATGGGGTGTGGTACATGTGGTGTGGTGTGTGTGTATGTGTGTGGTGTGTGGGTAGTGTGTGTGGTGTGCATGGGGTGTGGTACATGTGGTGTGGTGTGTGTGTGTATGTGTGTGGTGTGTGTGTGTGTGGTGTGCATGGGGTGTGATACATGTGGTGTGGTGTGTGTGTATGTGTGTGGTGTGTGGGTAGTGTGTGTGGTGTGCATGGGGTGTGGTACATGTGGTGTGGTGTGTGTGTATGTGTGTGGTGTGTGGGTAGTGTGTGTGGTGTGCATGGGGTGTGATACATGTGGTGTGGTGTGTATGTGTGTGGTGTGTGTGTGTGTGTGTGGTGTTTGGTGTGTGATTGTGTCTATGTGTGACTGTAAGTATGTGTGATCCTGTGAATGGGGAGGGGCAGCATCTCTCTTGTCCAGTAATGCATATGCCATGCTGGATGGCTGCAAGCTTCTGGTGATTGTCCTGTCTCCATTTTTCCTATTAAGGGGAAAAGTAGATTTTTCAATTTCAGTTTAAAAAACACATGGCAGCTATTAGAACGGCTGTGTGACATCTAATCCTAATTTATAATAATTGCACATGGTTTTCTTGAATTTTCACTGAAACTAAACATGCATGTCAACATCTGTGTGCAGGGACTTCTGTCTTAAGAGGTGATTAAATGCCTCTTCATCCTTATGCCCTGCACTCCTCTCCTTGTCAATGTTCTTTAAAGTGTTTTATTTAATTTTTTCAAACAACATATTTTGATCACATTCTCCCCCCTCCTCCTACTATTCCCCATGCTTCCCATCTCCCTATCTACCCATCTTGGTGTTCTCTTTCTCTCTCAAAACATTTTTAAAAAAACACAAATCAAAACAGTTAAACTAAAAGAAAAAGAAAATCAGTAAGACAAAAAATACCAAAACAAAACAAGGTAAAACAATTGTCCCCAAAATCAACCAACCAACCAACCATAGAGTTCACTTTGTGTTGACCAACAGCTCCTGGGCATGGAGTCTGCTCTGGAGTGTCAATATATGAACTTTTTCCTTTCCCAGAAAATATCAGTTGCAAATAGCTGCTTGTTTGAAGTGGGACTTAGTATCAGCTTCTTCTTCCCCTTGCTGTGACTTTGCCTGGTTTGAACCTGTGCAGGTCTTGTGAATGCTTTCCCAGCCTCTGTGACTTCGTATGTGTATCCGTCATGTTGTGTCTGGAGGTGGCTGCTTTCTTGGAGTCATCTGCTACTTCTGGCTTTAAATCATTCCACTGTCTCTTCTGCACAGATCCTGGGTCTTGAGGAGAGGATTGATAAAGGTGTCCTGTTCAGAGCTGAATGTTCCAGAGCGTGTCACTCTATGCGTGGGTTTCTGTGTTAGTCAGACTCTACTGCAAAAGAAAGATGATGATGGCTACACAGTTATCTGACCTTGGGTGGAGCAATTTGTCATCAGATTTCATGCTATTGTCATGTTCATTAGATTCAGAGATTCCCACTCCCACAGTTAGGAGTCTCCCCACTCGGTTCTACAATAAACAACTACAGCATGTATACAGAGGGCCTAGAGCAGTCCTTGTAGGCTCCATAGTTGCCACTTTAGTCTCTGCGAGCTCTCATGATCTTTACTTAGTTGATGTCTGTGGCCTGTGTTCTCTTATTGTGCCAACCCCTCTGACTCCTGCAATTCTTCTCTCCCTCTTCTGCAGGTTTCCGGAGCTCCAAGGGGAGGGACCCTGAACACACCCACTCTCATCTATTCCCTTCTTATTGTCCCTTCTGTGAAAGCTGTTTGCATTTCTGACCAGTTGTGAGCAGCAATGTTTATACTTCTCAGTGATCACGTGCTGTTCTGGTCAGTCAACACAAACCACACACACACACACACACACACACACACACACACACACACACGCACGCACGCACGCACACACACACACAATTCAGAAAAGGATGGAAGAGAATGCAACGTAGGTGGATTTGCTTTTTTAAACATTTTCAGCCGCTCAAAGTACCTGCTTTTAAAGAAGTATGGGTTCTGTGCCAGTTGATAGGGCAGACAACAAGGCATAGGCTACTCTAACTCTCTAGGAATCTTGAGAATCCTGCTACTGGGAATAGCGACAGCTGGACTTGGATTTAAAAGAACCCTAGACCTGACAAAATGACAATATATAAAATCTTTCCCAGTCAGCTTGGTTGTTCCCTACAATTATTCAACAATTAACATTTTTTAAAAATAAGATCCTTTACACAATTCACCAAAATGGAAAGACATGAAAGGTTTATGTCTCTCACACACTTTCATACTGAGCTGCACAGTAGAAATGGATCTGACTGATAATAATGTTCATATCTATTCTTTGAGAATTCCATACATGTATAGAATGAAATAGAATCACCATTCCCTCTTTCCACTCCCTCAGATTCCTGCCACAAGCTCAGGTTCTCCTCCTTATTTAAGTTCTATTCCTTTTCCTTCTCTTCCTCCTCCTCCTCTCTCTCTTTCCATTAAATCTAATTAGCACTGTCTATGTGTGCATGGCACCCACCAGAGCATGTAGGATGGCTCAGGTTGGAACCCCACCACTGCGTACAAGTAATAGTGTGATACAAAATGGCTTTTACGAAAAGGAAAAAAATAAAAGTTAGCTTGTATTTATGATGATTTATGTTTTGCTTTCGTTTCTGTTGCTTTGATGAAAATACCCTGACTAAAAGCAGATTATCAGGGGAAGGCTCATTTTAATTTACAATTCCAGGTTACAGTCTATCATGGAAAGGAAGGCAAGGCAGGGCCTCCCCACAGCTAGTTACATTACACCTACAGTCCAGAGCAGAGCAAATGTAAGTGTGTCCGTGACTGTTACTCAGCTCCCCTTCTCCACACTATAAGTTCTAGGACAGAAGCCCAGGGAACAGTGCTGAACACAGTGTGCTGGGCCTGCACAATTAGCATACACAAGATAACTCTCCACAGATGTGCCCACAAGCTATCGGAGCTAGACAGTCCTTCATTAAGAGTCTCTTTCCGGGTGATTGTAGACTGCGTGAACTTGACAATTAAAACTCATCATCCCAATTTCCTTGCTATAAATACATCCGGGTAATGTCAACCTCTTGTTTTAAAAATTCTTAGGGTTTTAATAATTAACTCCTCCTGCTCAGGGGTGATTGGGTGATTGAGGCTAAGCTGCTATTCAATCTTAGCTGAACTTCTGGGTCATCCATGAATGGGCCTTGGCCTGCCGTGTTTGCTCATCTGTACTTACTATATGAATGAATGAGATCATCCTAGCGCCTTGTACTCTCAAATCCCTGTAGTAGAAAAATATTTCAACTAGTAGCACCAGGGAAATTGCTGAAGGGACTAAATGTTAGCTGGGAAAAAAGCCTCTAAAATGCCAACAGAATGCCTGACACTCAATGAAGCACACAAGTTAATTTTTGTTTTTTTGGAGTTTCCATCACTTAAAAATTGTCCTCATATTCTATTATTATTTTTAGATGTTTGTTTTGGGAGAGGAAAGTAAAGGGTGTGGATTTGGGTGGGTGGGGGAGCATCTGGGAAGTGTTGGGGAGGGAAAACCATAATCAGAATATATTGTATGAAAAATATATATATTTCCAATAAAAAGAAAGGAATCAGTAAAAAATGCCTTCTAACAAGTATGCATTGTATTAATGAATTAAAAGTGAATGGATGGAATTAGGGGCATAACAATTCCATTAAGAGCATGTCAGTCTCTTGACACCGAAGTCTTTCTCCTTCTCTCCTTCCCTCCTGTCCTCCTGCCCAGTGAGTAAGTAGGCAGGGACCTTTTTCATTTTCATCAATGGATGTACACATATGGTAACATCTACATTTCTGAGACTTTAGTATTATTTTACAAAATAATCCATAGCAAAAGTATTTGAATCCAGATGTTTGCAGAGGCCATGCTATCTACACTAAGGCTTGAAACTGCATGATGTTGTTGTAGTTCATTGGAGACCAGACATCCAGAAACTTGTTCGCATGCATTTAAGCGTTGTCCTGGTGAGCTAAAGAAACGGGTCTTAGGTTGGATTTGGATGTTAGGCCTGCCACAGCCACCCATTTTCCTCCCTTGGTACAGGAGACAATGTGGGTTCAAGAGCCAACACTGATCCAATCAGAAATCTAAATTTGCCACCTATCAGTTGGTAGTCTTAAGCAAGTGATCTACTCCGTGGGGCATTATCAAAGCAGTGGCTATGATCTCCAGGGAGAGCCTGTAGCAGTGTCAGCTTGGCTCCAGCCTTCTTAGGATGAACTGCTGAGGTAAGTTCTCAGCTGCCAGGGTACTGGAAACAGCTTTCTCTTGCCTCTATTTTTTGGGGTGGGATAGGATAGGTGAAAAAAGTTTCTCTGTACTATTTACTGACCCTGCCTGGTACAATAACTGGTTCTTAGGCTTTACTATTCATTGGAATTACCCAGAGAGCCTAAGTGATTCCGAGATTACAAACCCAGACACTGATACTTGATCAGGGATGCAGAACAGACATCACATAATGTGTCACGTAGCCCACGTTTAAAGGTGAATGTATGCAAAACATGCAAATTTATGATTTCCAGGTATATTATAGATGTTAGTTTTATATACCTTTACAGTTTTCTCTTTTCTTTTCCTTTCTTCCTTTCTTTTGACTTTTTTTTTTCGAGATAGGGTTTCTCTGTGTATCCACTCTGAAAGTCCTGGGACTCACTCCATAGACCGGACTGGCCTCAAACTCATAGAGATCCACCTGCCTCTGCATCCTGAGAGCTGGGATCAAAGGTGTGAGCCACACTGCCCAGCTTCTACTTTTTTTTTTTTAACAAATGAAGGCACAAAAGCTCTTTCCATTAGACTCAAACATGATTTTAAAAACAGTCCTTTAAAATCCCTCAACAGTCTAGTCTCTTGTATTCTTGTATTTTTAAATTGCTTTCTTCAAAAAAATAAAAAAGGATTTGTGCCTCCATAGCACATATAGAACGGCACTGAATCGTTGCTACAAAGCCTGATTATTCCATCAGCCATCTCTCCACTGCCTGACTTCTGCCTTGCCTGTGTGCAAACTCCTACCAGGAAGAGGCTCAGTGTCTCACCTCATCTGCCACACGGCGATGCTCACCTACTTAGGTTAGGGTATCAGAGTTGATGAGAAATTCTTTGGGAAGCCAAGCACAAGTTTTTGCTTTCAACTATTTATAGCAATCAGCTGGCTTTTCCAGTCCCTCATTAGATCAATCATGGCCATTGTCTTACAGTTGAGTGGGAAATCGTTACAGGTGGAAGAAGGCACGATGCCTCTAATTCAGCAGCCCGCCCCCGCCCCTAGCAGGAAAGCTGCAAGGAATTACAATCAAACAGCAGACTTGTGAGGGAACTGGGCTGCTTCCTAGAAGGACTGCTAAGATGCTCTGGATTTGGGGTTGCACATAAAATATAAACCCACAGTGAAACTACGAGAGCCCCTGGCCCTCTGTACGCAAGACAGGCGCTACTGTCTTTCAGGAACAAAGTGGGCTGCCAGTCTTCACCCTAAGCTGACATTCTCACATTTGGCAGGGACTTCCCTTTTTACAGGCCATTTATTTGGGAATGTGTTTTACAGGTGGCCCTGCTGCTGGGTCCAAACCCAGGGCTTACGTGGGGTAGGCCACCACACATCTTTGTGGCTGAACTGAGTGCCACTTATTATGGCTACTGTTGGCCAAAAATTTAGGAAATTATTATTTTTTTTTGTCTTTTTGTGCTTCTCCTAGCCTACTGAACAATGGTAGTTCAAAAGGCAGCTGAACCGGGCACAGAGGGGGTAGGCAAGAGGGAAATTGCTGGAGTTTTCATTTCTGTTTGGGTCCGAATATGGCCTGGGAAGGGGTGACCCTGGGAGCAGGTGGGATTTACTTATCCCCATTTCCCTTCATTAAAACCTGCCTTGGGAAGTAGTCTATTTGAAGGAGTTATTGAAAGCGGTAGATATTTTCTGCCCACTGGCAGAGGGAGAAGCGGTGCACGTCTGAATAAATAACTGAAAACGGCTTCTCACTGTTCAGGAAGTACAATCAATTTGAAATTAGGATTATGGAAACATCTGCGAAAATTCAAGTGTCATCTCAATTTGGGCTCATTCAGATCCTGTATTTTTCAACTTCCCAAGCAGTGCATTTAAAATCTAATCCTAATTAACACACATAGTTTAATTATAGCCAACAAAATATTCTACAAAAATTGTGTGTGCTGGTTGGGGGATGGGAGGGGAGGGAGGAGGCGAGGGGGGAAAGCCAGACAAGCGTTCCCTGATTGTAAAAACTCTTGTTTGGTTAATAATATAAATCCTCAAGATTTTAAACACACATTTAAGTTTGCTTATCATGGATACAAGTAAAAGGAAGGAAGGAAGGAAGGAAAGAAGGAGAAGGAAGGAAGGAAGGAAGAGAGGGAGGGAGGAAGGAAGGAAGGAGGGAAGGAAGGAAGGAAGAAGGAAGGGAGGGAGGAAGCAAAGGAAAGCAGAAGTGTGGGACCTGCCTCTGTCTGGATCTTGTTTTGACTTCCTCCCCGTTTCTTGCTGGCCTGGACAGAGAACCTTGCTACTTGGTTCACAGAGTCTCTTCAGTCAAGACCCTTGTTACTTTGCTTACTTTCTTTCTCTGATCAGAAGATAAACCTTTATGGCTGTGTGTGCATCCAAATAAAGAAATAAATCTACTTTCTTGAAGCAAACTTTATGATGTGTTGTTTAGTGGCGAGCAGCCTCTCTAAGGATTCCAGGGCTTAGCTGAGCAGTGTGGCTACGCGGCTGCCTGCTTTATTGGAGCTTCATCCTAATCAGCGAAAACACGGCAATCAACCATCTTGCAGAATTACCAGAGCTCCCCCTCCCAAGCCTGGCGGAAGTGGAATGTGCAAAGGGAACATCAATTTGAAAGAAAACAAAACGAAAGTCAAGCAACCAAGAGAGGGAGGAGAGTCACGTTGAAACCTGACACCATTTTAACTAAAACTGACTTTGGGAGAGATCTCAGAAATTCAGTCATTTCTGTGTCACGTTAGCTAGTAGTGACATAGGGGCAGTACAATTTTTCCTCCTCTGGTCCTTAAGCACCTGGTTTCTTTGTTACTTAAATAGAGAACTGGCTTGTGAGCCTTTTCAGTGTGGTTCTCACCTTTCGCAATGCTGCGACCCTTTAATACAGTTCCTCGTGTTGGGTGGCTCCCAACCATAAAATTATTTGGGTTGCTACTTCAAAACTGTAATTTCACTACTGTTATAAATTGTAATACCTATGTTTTCTGATGGTCTTGAGCGGCCCCTGTGAGAGGTCTTGGTGGCTTCATTGCATCACTACTGTGAGCAATGAGAGCTCTGAGTCTGTGTTGTCTGTCAGTGTTACTGCGGACACTGGGGTTAGGAAACAGATTCACAGTTACCAGGCTGGTCTAGAGTTCTGAGGAAATTTTTTGTCTAGGATTAATACAACTGTGATTACCCTCTTAGAGGCTGGGAAGTGTTGACAGACTTTTTCTTTGCCCGGGCTGTGTTTGTGAGTAAAAGCCATTCCTTTGAAGACCGTGTTTCCAAGAACCTATAGCAATGGAGCTGGAATGAATGGATTACAGAGAATTTCATGGGAAAGTAGTCTGCATGTCTCTGAAGACTGCAAGGCAAGAGCTCCAAAACCCTAACCCCACAGGAATTTAAGGTTCAGTCTTAAATTGACAGCTGTACCCTAAATGTTGACCAAATCCTACCTTCTGCACTGAAGAGCTGGTGTGTAATTCTTCTGTGTTCTCTCCCTCCTCTCGTCCGCTCAGCTGTGCCGTATAGTAGCATGTCTTCTAGGACCAGGAGGGAAGGGACCGTTCATTTCCACTGCCGTCAAAATTCCTAGCCCACTGTTGGCTACAATGAGAAAGTGAAAAATATGAATGGACCTTCAGATTGGATTCAATGTATTGTTTTCAATGAGGAAATTAGGAATATGATTTTTTGAGGGAGAATTTGGATATAAAATTCCTACTGAATGATGTATCATGGTATCATATTGAAAAAGATCCTAAATCTCACTTGAAGAAAAGCAACGTCATAGAAAAGTAGCAGTCAAAGCAAGTCTCAAGGACAGAAAAACCGTGGGGTTCTGAGACCAGATGTTGGAGCAGGACCACTGGGTCCCATGACTCTCTGATCAGCTGCCATCACTCTCTAGGTCTTGGCTCCCAAGTGTGGCAGACATGTCAGTAAAATTCAGATGAAATAATGCTTGTAAACTACTTAGTAAATTTCCTGGGAATTAGTTTAGGATCACACATTCAAGAAATCAATAATAGCTAGGAATATTTTGATTTTTGGCACAACCATTTAAAGGTTCAAGGGGAAAAACACAGTGGCGCTGCACTGGACTCCATGGGCTGAGATGTCCCAAGACTTTCTCAACAAGATCCTGCGTGTGCATAGTTCTGTGAATTCTCCAAGCAGCTGCCCTTGCTTCCTGGTACATCATGGAAGCTGCTGGCTTGGGAAAAAGAATAGGTTGTTTGTAGATCAGGCTGGCATTAACACTTGATCCACTGCCTCAGATCCCAAGAGCTAAGATCACAGGCACACACCACCACACCTAGCTTCCAAAATATATTTATTCAAATGTATAATCAGTGGTTTAGTGAGTATGCTGGTACCCTGCCAATCAGAAAGGAGTGCTTGGTCATGAAACCTGCTGCAAAAATAAGGTTAATAAAAAAGAGCTCACAGGAAACAGTAACAATTATATTTAGTGTCCATAAACTGTCCATTTGCTGCTCTTTTCATTGCTGTGTCCAAGCTACCTAGGAGAACAAGTTAAAGGTTTGCTCAGGGTTTCAGAGGGCTCAGTCCATGGTCACTTGGCCCCAAGTGTTTGGATAGAACATCATGGTCACAGATGTCTGTGTCCAGGGAACTTCTTACCTTGGAGTAACAGGAGACAGAGAGACTAGAAGGGTCTAGAAGCAAGATACCTCTAGAGACCTGCCTTCTGTGCCCTCGTTTCCATCTGGGTTCCATCTTTAGAAGTCTTTCAAACCTTTCTAAAATAGTATCTTCAGCTAGAGACTAAGCACTCAGCATACAAGCCCACGGGAGACACTTCATATCAAGCCATAACACTGATGGATATATTTTCAACTGTGGACATTGTACACCACAGATACATACATGGCACTAGGTCATGAGAAAACATTTTATTGCTACTGCCAACCTTTAAACAAACCATCAATGATAACCTTGCTAGCTAACCATTCGCTAGTGATAGTTGGTGGAGTGAACAGGGTGACCAGAGATTATGGGAATCAGGAGGTCACGTGACTCAGAGATTAGTGATAAAATTAAGAGATGATGAATAGCAGAAGACAGGTAGAGGTGTGGAGGGGAGCGAGGGAGGTAGGGGCTTTGGACCTTTCAATAATATCTTTGTATCTGGTGGAGAGCTGTCAAAGAGGCTTCAAAGAGACAGTAAATGTCTAATGTTTTCATGTCATTACAGGGTCAGTTGGAGACAGAACGTGGTGTGTGAATTTGGCAACCCACCTAGGACAGATCCGCTGCTGTGGCTGTCTGTTTCATGGTTCTGCGCATCCCATCTGTGGCGTAGCATCGCCACCAGCTTTGTTCTTTGGCCATCACTGATTGATATAAGGACAGAAATGCCTGATGCAGCTGGAGAAAGAGATTCTCTTTCCAGGAAATTTGGAACATGAGCTGAGATACTTAGAGGCAGGGTGATATGGAGCTATCCTTTCATTATCAACTTTTTGTGGGTTCTTCTTCAGCCATTCCTTAGTTCTCTAGGCTACCAAGTGTTTTCCCAGCAAATGGCCTTTCCTCTTTCTCATGTTAGTTCATCAGCATTTACTCACCACTTAGTGGGCTTTCTTTCAATTATGCCACTTTCCCCTTTCCACAATCATCGTGCTTGAATAACCACACAAGGGCAAGAGGATTGCACAGCAACACACAGGCCACTCATTGCTCATAGAAACAGCCATGATTTATTTAAAGAACAAACAATTTGTGTCAGCCCTGTTCGGTCCCCAAGCCCAGAGAATGTAAAGTAGTGGGCAGTGACTGCACAGGCTCTGGATTTTAAATACAGTTTCTTCCACTTAAGTATGGGATCAACACTATTTAAAGTGCTTGAAGCTTGGTTTCTTTATCTGACAAGATGGAGACCATTTGGGTTCTGAAAACTACATGAAAGTACACACACGTCAGTTGTCCTTAGCAGCTGCTGTCACATGGTACATTTTCAGAACTCAGTGCGTGCTGGCAATTTTATTGTTGGCTGAGGCTGTCATGAGATAGCCCAGAAGCAAGCAGGATGGACATTTCTTTTTCCACTTAAATGTTTCAGAACCAGAGGCTCTAAAAGATGCAGTGGCTTGACCAAGGTACGCAATTTGAATGTCATTTGAAGTCATTCCTTAATATTCATTAAGCACCTTTGGTGCTTGCTACCCTGGGAAAGCAGGCTTTTATTCACAGTATTTGTAGTTTAAAGTAGAGGTCATGTATAAGTCAATGTTCCTATCGCTGTGGTACAACACCTAGAACAACAATTTTAAGAAGCAAAGAACATTTGGGTTCATAATTTCTAAGCCTTAATTCATTCAGTCTTAGATCCATCTTGGGTCTGAGATAAAGCTGGCCAGTGTAAGAGTATGTCGTGAGTAATGCTGGTCACCTTCTGGTGCCAAGCAGCAGAGTGATAAGGGTCTGGGAACAGGATCTACCCTCAAAGCACAGGTCCTTGATGATCATCTGGCTTCAAGTAGGCCCTACCTCCTGGTGGGAGTTCAGTTACTGAGCTCAGCAATTGATTGGTCTATGGATGAAGTTAGTACCCTCGTGATTCAGTCTCTTCTTAATAGGGCCACCAGCCAGGGACCATTCCTTCATGATATGTGTCATTTTTTGGGCAGATATTTCACACCCAAGCCTGATGATCAACTGACTACAAACTTTGTGCAGATTCCATTTCTTGCCATAGTAAATGAAGTTTATTGAAACACAGGCAAGTTCATTCATTTGATTTATTTCTGCTAGATGGTATTCAGAGTGGTTGCTACCAAGACAAATGATCCCCCAAAACTAAAATATTTCACATGAATTATACCATATCATGTCATAGTAGATCTCTGATCTAATGGCCTAGAAATGTTTTGAAAGGACTAATTAGAATATAGAAAAGAAAAAAACTTTTGCATAATATGAACAAGTTCTAGTGCTTTTAGCTTTCCCATTGAGAAATTTTTTTCACTTCCTAAGAGGATTCTTTTTTGCAACCATGGAAGTTGGAAAGTGGTTTCTGATATCTCTATGCCTTCTCTACTGTTCTTTGCAGTTAACCTCTGGTCACCGTTCTTTCCTGTCACTCAGGGTATCGTCCTTGCATCTCTGTAGTGAGAACAAATGAGATGCCCTATTGCCCAATAAGGCTAAACTGCAAAAACTGCTTGACAGACACACCCTTCAGCCTTGATGCCCAGGAACTTCTCTTCACACCCACTCCTTAGGAATAATAAAATGAATCATACCCACATGTACTTAAATCATCCCAGCTTCCTGACTTCAGAGCGTCAAGTGTGTTTATACACATAGTTCAGTACAATCTGTTAACTACTTTACGCTTTCTATTGAAAATGTACACTCTGAGAGATGTTTTGGATGTTTTTTCTAAAAGAAGTGTAAATTCTTCCATAAAGAATGACATAGTCCAGCAACACCATTGCTCGATAAAGTCCCTGATCTTGCTGGTAGAAGCCCTTGCAACCACTCTTCAGACCGATGCCAGCTTTTGGATTTCTGGCTGGATTCTGATAACCCTGATAATTAGAGTGCAGAAGACAAAGCCTTGTGGACAGGCTATCTGTCAGAATGCACACAATTCGGACATATGAGTTTGAAGAGATCTTTGGATTTACTTTCGGCATGGGCGATAACTTGGGCAGGGTCTATGAAGAAGGGTTGTTAAGTATTGCTGCTTACAGAAGACCAAACTGTGCTGCACTGGGTGATGCATGCCTGCAACCTCAACCTTCCAGGGTGAGAGCTGATGCTAGAGAATCAAGAGTTCAAGGGTACCCTGGCCTATATAGCAAAGTCCCTGTCCCCCAAACACACAAAAATAGGGAGGGGAGAGAAGGGAGAAAAAGAGGGAAAGGGGAAGGAGGGAGAAGGGAGGGCCAGGCTAGGTTGGAATTAGGGTTGTCCCGAGCAGGGAGTTCTGGAGTCAATGGAACCCACAGCATACAGCACTGCTAGCTCACTGTGGGTAAGGTTGGGGAAGAGACTACTCTTGAAAACTGATACTCACGTTTGCCATTGCACTGTAGGGTGGATCACTCTGAACACTGGCTTCTGCAGAGAGGCATTCCAGGGTTCTGAATACGGGGAGGCTAAGTCTATTGATGAACCAAGCCAACCAGAAGGAGAAGAGGGAACTGAATGAGAGCTACCACATGAAACCTCCAAGTTAGTAGGTTGTCATGAGTTCGACAAGCTAATAGGGAAGGGGGAGGAAGGTGGAGTAGTGGTTTTAGGTATTTCAGAGCTGCTTGGAATCAAAACTCAAACTAGAACTGGAGTACAGACATTACAGGGTGTATGGCGATTACAAGGCTGCCCCATGAATCCTTAGCTGTGAAAACAAACCTTTAAAGTTTGAAATCTCAGCAATTCAGCTGTGAAAGTGAAAGGGGTACACTTTCTTAGTCCTCTCGGCTCTATTCCTGGCTAGTCCTGGTACTTGATCCTTAAGCTGAAAAGGTGCAGGCCTTGGGCCATGCTGACTAGACAAGCAAAGCTCAGCGAAGAACACAGGCCCTGTGGGTAGGTTACCAACCCACTTGGAATAAAACAAAAGCCTGGGA